TGCCACAGGGCTGAGTGCAGCCACGAGCTTCCCCACTCCAAAGGGAATCAAGAGGTGGAAGAGGATTTTCGGGGACAGATCCTGGCTGCAGGCAGGGTGCAGTGTGAGCTGTCCCCACATCCTGTGCTGGGCTGTCTCGGGCTTCTGTTCCTGCTGCTGGGGAGAATTCCACAGCCCTGAGAAAGAAGAGGCAGCAGCCCCAGCCCAGACCTCAGCCCCGTGGGTTTTGCTAAGGGAGGGCTGAGTTATGCAGAGGGGAAAGATTTAAATCAGTGCCCAGGATAAATAATTGCGTGCTCTGTTTATGATCCTGAGACAGTAACACAAAACACCAGAAAAAGACTTGAAAAGAACCAGAAAACACAATCCTGGTGAAATCCAGCAGTTCTTGCTAAGCTCTGAAATTCACCCTTTGCCTTTCTCCTGTAGATATCAATGAGCTTATCAGGCTCCTGCCTTGCAGCAGCAGCCGTGGGAAGCAGAGGAACAGAGATAGGGATGGGGAAGCACCAGAACAGCCATGGGGGCGAGACTGTTCCAATGGCTCCATTGGCCCCACAGCTTCTCTGCTGCAAGGCCTCTGGAGCCTGGAGCTCTCTGCAACCAAAATAACCAGGACCAGATGTCTTGAGGGCCACTATGCTCACACCAGTTTCTTGTAAGCACAGAGGACTCAAAGGGGTACAGAGATGTCATTGGGACCTGACAGACAAGCAGGTTGCACAAGGAGCACAGACACTGCAGTGAGGGAGCCCAGCCAGAAGCCTCTGGGCCCACAGGCACAGGAGGAGCTGAGAGAAAATCCCACAATGCCCAGACCAAACATGGAGAAAAACAGCCACTGCCAATTCCCCTGGCCAGGGATGCTTGTCCTCCGTGCAGGGCCTTGGGAGAACACATTCTGCCCTCAACCCCTGACACACTGCCTGCTCTGCTTGGTCACCACCCCAGGATGAACAGAAATCCAGTTCCTATTTGGGTAGAAACCCCTCAGGGTAGTAGGATCAACTGTTAAAAGGATACACAGAAAACTTAACACACTGGGTTTGAACTGCACATCACCAGCAGGAGTGAAGTGTAAACTGAAGCAAGAGTTTAGAGTAAAAGAGATGACAAAGCATCCATGTCTGCCAGAGCATCACAACCTCAGGACCAGCTGGGCACCTCTAGGGAGCCTGGAATGGGGCACAGGGAGCAGGCACCCACAGCCACCATGTGGAACACTTACCAGATGTCCAGAACACGTCTTCACTTCCCCAGGAGACATATAGAAGGCATTAACCTCATCTTCCTCACAGTCTAGGGCATTGTGGGCTCTCCCCAGGTCTGCCTCGAGCAGCCCCACCAGATCTGTTTTGTTGTGCCTGATCATGTGCCCAGGCTTTGTCTGGGAATGTTCATCAAAAGCCAACATTTCACTGCTGCTGAAAAATTTATTGTGGCCTGTAGCATCCCTGCTGTGCCCTGCAGGTCCCTGTGAGAGGCTGATAAATCTTGATCTGTGCCTCCTGGTTCTCCTGGGAAATGATCCCCAGAGGGACAGCAAGGATTTGTCACGGATCAGCTCATAACCAGGCTCATCCTCAAGAATGCACTCGCTACTCCTTGGACAGAGGAAGCCATAGGCACCTTCCTCATCTTCAGCTGACGAGGAGGAGGGTGGGGTTGGGGGCTCATCCTGCTGGCCTGGAGATGCTGGTGGCTTTGCTTGGTGCTCAGCACTCCTTGGCTCCATCGTCTGTGGCTGGGACCCTCGCTGCCACTGGCAAAGCAAAACCAGAACTCATTAGCAAGAACCAGGCAGGAGACTACATTTATTTTGCTTTTCCTCATCTTCCTTTCCATTCCATTAGAAAGGGGTGTTATGGTCCTTACTCCAGGATCCTCTGTGCTCTCCTCACCAGAGCATGCAGACCCACAGTTACAACTCAACCAGCTGGGTTTGTATTCTTCATTTCTCTCTTAAAACACCAAACTCCGTCTATACTTTCAGAGGAGGGTGTGCTTCACATCGTGCCCTTTCACTGCTGGCTATGCAGTGCTGGGGAAGGGTGGGGGTGTGGAGGGGGCTCGTTGGGATGGATTTCAGGTGCTGTCTGAGGTGTGTTTCAGGCTCCTGGGCAGAGCTGGGGCCAAGACTTCTGCACAGGCAGGGGAAGTTTGGCTGAGGCAGGGACTCAGTCTCCTGCCACCTGGGCCCAGAGGGGAAGAACAGAGTTCCTAGGTGGCAGGACCCTGCCTGCCCACTTTTTCCACTGTCCCCAAGGCTCTGACAATGCTCCCTTGCTTCCATCAGCAGCACAAACAGCAACTGCTCAGACACAGAGGGCTCAGAGCACAGATATGATGAAGTGCCAGGCATGGGGAGGCCATGGCACTCCTGAAAACTTGCCCTGTTCCCTTGCTTGAAATGTGGGCAGAGGGGACAAGGTTCAGGGAGGGTAACCAGGGCCGAAACACCAAACCCATCCTTCCCACATCAGGAAGTGCACTTCCTGGGTTTTTTTCCCAACTAGGATTCAGAATAAATAGAGCAAACCTTCATTCTTGTCTCCCAGAGACCCTGAGCCCCCCAGCACAGGCACTGCCCCCTGACAAGGTGACAGCAGAGCAATGCAGAGACCCTGGTGTCTGTCCCAGCAGCTGCCCCCAGTGCTGGGCTGTCACACCTGCCCTCGGTGACGCTGTCCCTGACAGCTCCGCTGAGGAACCCTCCGTGCTGGACACAGTCTGTCCTGTCCCACCCGTCACTGTCCTTGCACTGAGTACCTGCAGTGTGGAGATTCAGCAGCCTCCTGCCTCACTTCCAGCTCCTGCAGCCATGTCTCCTGGTTTCCCTGCCAGGAAAAGCCAAAGGTCAGGAATCAGGTTCACAGTCCCAGCTGTAAACAGCTGCACTGTATGGGTTACTTCCTGATTTTACCAGGAAAATCCTTCCTTCCACTGTCACCCGCTCCATTTGTTTGCCCAAGGGTACAATTCAGCATGCAGAATATTTGCCTTAAAAGATTCGCTTGGGGGACAAAAACGCTGAATTCGAGCTTTATCCAGACAAAGTGTAACTACAAAGCCCAGAGCTGCACTTGGGAACACCTCTTTTGAGCAGAGCAGTTACATTTCCAGGACTGGTAACCTGTTTTCTTTTTAAAAATAAACTCCCCTTTGTTGAATGAACGTGTCTTCTTGCCCATGTCCGAGCAGGCAGAAAGCCTGCAGCAGGGCTGGGTGAGCCCGAGCTGGTGGCTGGTGCTGGCAGCTGAGGCTGGCAGGTCACAACTCACCTCCCGGGGCTGCCTGCGAGCCCGAACACCCCGGCTGTGTGCCCCAGAGCTCCGGGGCACCGCTGCAATAGGCTGCCAGGGACAGCGCGGTCCTGCCGCCCTCTGGTGAGCACGGTGGCTTTTCCCAGCACCTCAGCCCATGCTCGGCACAGGGGCAGTGTGTCCCTGCTGCCACCAGCGCCAAGGCTCCCCTAGCCAGGCTCATGGGTGTCCTCATTGCCAGCCCGCAGCACAGCGAGAGCACGGAAACACTCCCGGCCACTGCCTCAAATCCTGGCGCGGCTCAGGTTTAATTGCCATGGGTTCATTAGCCGGTCAGGGACGGGCCCTAATACACCCATTCACCCATCAGGACCCTTCCTACCAGGTTTCTGCTGCCCCATCTCCCCCAGCCTCGTTCAGCCCTGGTCAGCACCGCTGAGCCACACACTGGTCCCTTGTGTGGCTCCTGAGACCTCCCGACCCTGAAGCCACTGGAACCCCGATCTTGGGGTACAGCAGCAGCACTGCTCCTTCCCTGAGCAGTCTGAGCATCAGCAGGACCCAAGCCTGGGCAGGGCACTGTCCCAGCTCAGCCTCAGGGGCTCTGGCACATGTCCTGCTCTCTGTGTGGGGCATGAGGACACCCCAGGGGACAGGAGGGTAGGGACTGGGGAGCAAGACCCCCCCACTCCTGCCCCAGCCAGACCAGGGGAGCTCCTGGTACTGCAGGTGCCACGGGTACAGAGAGCACTGAGCTTCCATCAACATGTCACATTGCCCACGTGACTTTCCAGCTGTTTGAATTTTTCAAGTTAAAACAAATTATTTTCCTTTTTATTGGTATTAAATAGATCAAAATTAAACATATACAACAACTTCTATTGATAAACAGTATTAAAAAAATCCTAGTAGGAAAGAAAGCCTGGTTTGTGCATTGGAAGATCAGCCATTTCCCTGCAGAGCAGTTCAAACACTCCATTGTAGGCAACACAGCTGCTTCTCCTTGTTGCCCATCCCCAGCAGCTTTAAACAAGAAGGAAAAGCCTTTCCCCTTGGAAAGCACAACAGTTCTTACCACAGACATTTCCAGCACAAATGAAACCTCTCTGTTGTGGTGACAGAGATCACTGCCCTGCAGGGCCCTTGGAGAGATGTGCTGACACCTGGCTGGACAGGATGAGGGACATTCAGGGAGCACTCAGCACTCACAGGTGACACCAGCACTTTAAAGGAATATCAATCAGCTGATTAATTCTAGGCATCTGCAAATATCAAACAATCTCAAGGCATTTTGTTTCCCTGAACCAAAATGTTTTGGTTGTGTTTAACATGCCCATGTCCTGTTGTCTTTGGGACAACCCTCTCACCAAGGGACAACTGGTTCTGTCACAGCAGGGGCTCTGCAGGACCTCCAGGGGTGGCTGAGGAACAAACCCCACTTTGGGCTTTTTGACCTTCTGAAGTCATGCAAAAAATTTCAAAATATTACTGGATCAATTAAATGCTACTCCAATGATCCTTCAGACAGAACAGCAGCTCAAGTCACAAGACCCAGAGAGAATCCAAGTATTTCTTTGAAAGTGTGGTTAAATTCTTCTAGAACGGAAAGATTTGGTTCAAGGAATCCCACCACAACCGTCAACAGCTTTACCATCCACTTCCTTTGAATACTTCTTTTCAGCTTCAAAAAGCTGAGCTAACATTTAAATGAAAAACTGCACACTTAAAAGAAAAAACCACATTCCATACCAGCAATAATTTAATGGAAATTTAAAAATTCCCCTTTCCATGTTTCCCATGTCTATGAACCAGCACAGCTCCCCTCCAGCCCCTTGGTGCCACAGGCAGACCCTGCCACATGCAGCAGCTCGTTATCCACAAATGCAAAAATGCACTTTTAATCTGAAATTCAGCAATTTCCATCCCAACTCCCACCCACTGCCAGTGTTTACAGCACAGACTGCTCTTGCACATATAACTAGAAATTAGGGACATTCACATCTCAGCAGAACACACAGACCTCAGTCTGTCTGCACAAATGTAGGAAAAAGGACATTTTACAGCAGCTTTTTCACCTCAGATATTTCATGGATTGCTGACTGAGAACAACAGACAACATGAATCATTTCTGTAGTTTCCAAAAGCAAGTCCCAGCTCCCAATGTCTGTGCCAAGATACACCTGACTCTTGCACACCTGTAGCCAGGAGAGGTACACAATGCACCTGCAGTGACTGGAGGAGCCTCTTCCCTTCTATTAAAGTATTAAGCAAAATTAAAACCCCGCAAGACAATCCACAGAACAGCGTCTGACATCTCATGGGAAGTACAAGGGAACAAAATGCACATTTGTACACATTTCTTTGCTGACCCCATGAACAACCAAAGGAACAATCACACAGAGGAAGGTGAGAGCAGAATTCACATCCTGCTTCAGAACAGCCAACACCTCTAGTACCATTTACTTCCCCTCCTTCGAGCTGTTTTAACACTTTGGAGCCCAAGCCCTGGTATGGTTTTTCAGACCCAAACAGCCTGTGCAGCAAAACCTCAATGTCCTGCACAGAGCCCCTTTTTTTTATCATACATACACATTCATGGTACTTTCCAAGGAATCTTTGCTTCCCAAATGCAGAGTGAGAGCCCAGTCCCTGCTACAAAGCAGTCTCAGCATTTCTGCAGGACTCTGAGCTTTGCTCCCTGTGGTCACAGGTCCGTAACTTGCAGCGAGCCCACAGTCCCCTCATGGATGCAGCGCTGAAGGCACCAAGCTGGAACCCTCTTTCCTGCCACATGATGGGATGGACACACACAACACACAGATATACACAAAAGAAACTCCCTGCCACCAGCTCGTTCCAACCCAACTGAGTTTTGACTGAACTCTCCTTTCCTGGGAAAGCCCCAGTCCCACAATGCCCTGGCTGTGCACCCCACCACTCTACAAGGGGATGAAAACGAGTCAGACATGTCTCTTTCCTCTCCACACAACATTGCAGTGAAGTTCTGTGGTTTGATAAGGCATTTTTATCTTCAGTGAGAATCCAAGCACAGGCAGGAAATCTGCCAAGTCGTGCAAACTTCATCTCCCAGCAGCTTGAAAATCCAGGATCTCCCGCTCTCTACTCAGATGGAACAATCCCTGTCCCAGTGGGCATTGTTTATTTAACACCAGTACAGAACAGGGCTAAATAAACCCCTCAGCAGCTGGACCTCAGTTATCTTTCACAAAGAGGGACACACAAATGAGCACTTTTTGCAGCTCTCTGGCTTTATCCCACAACCTGCCTTTTTACAGTATCCCTATATATAAATTAGAAAGAGATAAAGCCAAGGATTCACTGCAGCGTCCATGAAAAAGTCCAGTCTGTGTACCAGTCCCTCGGGATGGTGCTCACTGGGGGGTGAAGGTCAGGATCATCCAGCTGATGACAAAGTAGAAGAGGAAGATGGGGTACACGACGAGTGCCTTGCGGTTGGGGGGCTGGCTGTCAGCCAGGAACGCCGTGGATGCTGTGGAGACACAAAACACGTGGAGCAGGAGAAGCAGAACCCTCACAGCCCCCACTGCACAGAGCAAACTGCCCTGCAACTGTGTTGAAAAAGAAACCACTGCTCAAACCAACAGGCTGTAATCACCAAGTGAAACTTCCTTTACCATACAGAATGACAAGTCATGGAATCATGGAATCACAGCATGGTTTGGCTTGGAAAGGAAATCCAATTCCACCCCCTGCCACAGGCAGGGACAACTTCCAAGCTCCAAGCCCCGATCAGCCTGGCCATAAATGCTGATTAACACTGTACAATGAGAGCCAGATTCACAGCTAAAGAACAAGAGAGATTATGCAAATGCATCTCTATAAAAAACAGCATTTTCTAACAGTATTTATAACATAATCATAGAATAAACCACCAGTCTCACAGAATTAATAGTTAATCACCATCCTGCTGCCCAAGGCAATTTGCAGACGACCATGGAAATCACCAGGAGCAGAGGCAGAGGCTGATCCTCTGCCAGCTCAAAGACTGGAAGAACTATTTCCAGAGCCCTTCAGCAGCCCAGGGACACCTTAGACTAGAGCATCCCTTGGTTTTGCCTGAGGGAATGAACACAGAACAAGCTCCCCAAGCACAGGGCACACGTGAGGGACTCACCCAAGGTGGACCAGCCGAACATGGCCCCCACCACGATGAGGCGGATGATGAAGCTGACGGTGCCCGCGCCCGCCAGCAGCACCAGCCTGCACACCAGCATGGCCACGGTCAGCGGCATCACGCAGTACCCCAGCACACACAGGCTCTGGAAGAAGGAGCTGCACAGGGAGACAGCAGCAGAGAACCAGCAGTCAGGCCAGAACTCCATGCACAGGAGCCGTGAACTGCCACGGAACAAACCCGCACTCACATGGTCCCTCCCAGAAGCTTTGAGTTGAGTGTGATGACAACGGCCCCAAACCAGATGATGACAAAGACCTCGGCAAACTGGGGCCCTCCATCATCCTTGCTGTCTGCAGAGCCACCCTGCAGCATCCTGGAGTGGGGAACAGGGAGAAACAGCTGCAGTGGGGAACAGACAGATGGAGGTATCAGCTTTCCTAGACTGGAGTAGGTGGCAAAGCAGGAGCCCCAACACTGATCCCCAGTTATGGTGCAGGCCCACAGTTTTTCATCCATTTTATGTTTTCATTATATCCTCAGTTTTGCACAGGAAAGGAAAATGGTTGTGGCTCAACTGAGGTGATTTCAGTACATTTGTTTCCCTGTTTTGAGGGCTGTGAAAGCAATCAGAAGGGAATCAAGCCATGGACAACAGGCTGAGATGGAAATTAAAGTACCAAAGTTTTGGTACCTCTCACAGCAGTAGAGTAGTGTGTTATTGAACAAACCAGCCTCAGAGAAACCTTGGAATAACTAGGGGTTATTCCAGCAGGCACGACAGCTGAATCAGGACATGAGACATCTCCAGTAAAACCATTCCTAGGCCAGGGGACCAGGAAGAATCCTAAACTTAGGAACAGGAGATACTAATGGGCTTGAAGTGCCACAAACACATTTTATCAGAGAACCAACCCAGCAGTGCTTGCACAAGACAGAGAGGGATCAGATGAAACTGATCTTAACACATCAATTAGTAACTTTTAATGTCTCATTTCCCTCATGCACTGGGCTACAAAACCCCAAATTCCCCCGGAATACTCACAGAGCCAGGGAGACACACAGAACCAACGGGCCCCACAGATCCCCTGCAGGGAGAGGGAAAACACATCACAAAAGTCACAGAACCATCTCAGTTCCACTTTCCTAGGAGAGACAGAGTCCCTTGCCCAAGGCCCAAGGTGCCATTTTCCACATCTCAGTGCTTTACGATTTTCTTATTCAGCATCTTACACCATGATCTCTAATGAAATTCATTCAAGACCCACCAGTAGCTAAAGCTCCCTGTTCCACCCATCCTGCCCCACACCACCCTGCCACAGAGCTCTGGTGACACCCTGGCTGTCAACTCTGCTGCTCAGGATGTTCAGCACTGCTCAATCCCTGTCCCACTGGATTCTGCCTCTCCTCTGCAGATCAGGAAGGCCCCAGCACGTACAGTCCCTGAGGAGTGCGCTGCTCTTCTTGGGATACATAACATGGACAAACTTCTTCCCAACAGCCTTCAGGTCCCTCATCTGAAACAAACACAAAACACTTGAATTTATCCCCTCACAGAAATTACAGCTTCCAACTAAAGCAAAGAGACCAAAGTAAAGGAACAGGGATAGCAAAAAAGAAGAGGAGCCAACCCAAGATATTCTGAAGCATCCTCTGTAACAATGACTACTTTTCCTGCATTCCTTAACAACCACAGCATCCCATCCTCTTCTGTAATAACCACAATATTGTATCTTTTAGTAACACCAGAATATAACCAACAATTTGTTCGCTCCTCGAGGAAAAGAAAATAAATGAAAAATACCTTCAGTCAGTAGTTTCTCACAAGCTCCCACTGAGGCCTCTGCCCTCACAATGATTTCAGGATCACAGAGAAACTTTGGGCCACAATTCAGACACTTTTTGACCCACAGGAATTTGTTTTACGTGATGAGTTCTAAAACAATCCCCACTGAAGTACAGGTTGAGCAGAGCTGTGCAAAAACACAGGTTTTGCAAAACAGCTACCAAAGACACCAGAAAAACCTGAGTTCTACCCCAGCCACAGGTTCAGACTCACAATTGTGTCCTTGACTGGCTCATCCAGTGTGGAGTAATCCTCATCAGGAGAGTGAGATCCCACAGGGACAGTGATCTCTCCTTCCACTGGAATATCCTGGGATATCGACACATCTGCCAGACCTGGGAACTGAATGGATACAAACCTTCAGTTAGAAACACAACCATGCTCGTGGGCACTTCAGATGGGCTGGGGATGGGCAGAGCTGCTCAGAATTCAGGGATACAACAACTAAAAGGTTCTGCAGCAGAGCCGGGCTGCGGCTGCCCCATGTGAGGAGGTGTGTGTGAGCCTGTCCCCTGTCACCCGCAGAACCCACCCTCCGTGCTCCGTTCCAGCAGCAGTAACTGAAAGAATAAAAAGCTGTGTTTTAAGGCAGGTGACGCCTGAGGGCTGCACAGCCGCACTGCCCCCGAGTACCCGCATTTAACAGCGCCGGGAGCCGCCCGGGCACCGCCAGCCCGGGCACACACCGAGCCCGCTCAGGGGCCAGGCTTAACCGGGCTGATGCCCTCCCCGCCTGCGGCCGAGGAAAGCTCTCGGGAGGCCGGAGGTGAAGGCAAACAGGGCACAGCCAGACCGGTTCTACGGCAAACGCTGCGGCACGGGGAGCACGGCGGGAGCCCGGCGGCTCCTCGGCCCTGCGCCTGACCCTGTCCCCTTTCCTATCTTCTTTCCCTGTGTCCTTCCTCGCCCCTGTCCTCGGCCCCTTTCCCCCTCCCCGCCTTTGGGACGAGCTGCCGCCCGCCCAGGCCTCCAGACCCCACTTGGCCTTTACCCGGCACCTGACCGACTGCCTGGCCCTGCTCAGGGACAGGGAGAGGGGGAGGCCGGGAGGCCCGAAGGCCCCCGGCCCGCCCGCAGTCCAGCCTCCCCGCATCCCCGTCTGGCCCCCCCGGCTCCCCACAGGACCCCCCGGCCGCGCTCACCAGGGTCCCGCCAGCCCCGCTCCCCTCCGCCGCCGCCATCTTGGCCGCCCGGACGACGTGGAGGCCGCTTTACGTCATCACCACGCGCCTTCGCGTCACGCGCCGCCGCCGGGGCGTCCATGGCAACGCGTGCGGGCGGCGCCGGGCGCGCCCCGCCGGCAGGGGGCGCACGCGGAGCGGCCGGCGGGGCGGCGGCAGCGCCCGGCCCGGATCGTGCGGAGCGGACGGGACCGGAGCGCGCGTCCCGCACCGTGCGGAGCGGAGCGGCCGGGGCGGGCGGCGGCCGCGGGAGGCTCGTCCCGACTACACCTCCCGGCGGCAGCGGCGCGGCCGGAAGCGCGGCGAGCGGGCGGGCGGGGGTCCCTCGGCCGAGGCGCGGCTGCGGGAGCGGGCGGGGAGCGGCGGGCGGGGCCGGGCGGGCGGGGCGGGCCCGCGGGATGCCGGCGGCGCGGGGCGCCCGGGGCGGCGGCGGCAGCGCTCCGTAGGCGCAGCGCGGCGGAGCCGGGCCGAGCCGCGGCCATGGGGCACCCGCCGCTGGAGTTCAGCGATTGCTACCTGGACAGCCCCGACTTCCGCGAGCGCCTCAAGTGCTACGAGCAGGAGCTGGAGCGAACCAACAAGTTCATCAAGGAGGTGATCAAGGACGGCAACGCGCTCATCGCCGCCATCCGCGGTGAGCGGGCCGGGGCGGGGGTCCGGTCACTGGGGTGTGTCCCGTTCCCTGGGCAGCGGCCGCCACCCCCGGCGTGTCCCTGTCCCTGCGCTGCCACCCCCGGGGCCACCCGCAGCTGTCCCCACGCAGGGACAGGCCGGATGCCCCGTCTCGCAGGGTTGACAGCGGCGGCGGGACCGGCCGAGCCTTCCCGGGGATGTGTCCGCTCGTTTGGGGACGGTGATCCCCGCTCGGGAAGGGTGCTCCGTTATTCTGCATCTCCCGGGCGCGGGGCAGCGCGGCGGGGTCATCGGTGGGCATCTCGTCCTCCTGGGGACCACTGTGGGCATCAGAGGGGCCCTGCAGCGCCCTGCTCTAAGTCCTTTTGTTGTCGGTGTTCTGTCATTCTTTAAATCACGGTGAGCATTTTCCCCAGTGAAATGTCGATTTCAGTGCTGGCTTTGCGGGAATCGCCTGTTCAGAAGTGCTGACAGATCAGCAGAGCACCTGGGCCAGGTTGTGTCACCTGAAACCACCGAGTCCCACGTGTTTGACACTGACCTTCTGACTGCTTAGATTTGTTTTCCCTCCCCACAGCTGTGGATACACCTCTGTACACACCTTCCCTGTGCTGTCTCCCACACCTTCCCGGACTCCATGATCTTAAAGGTCTTTTCCAATCCAAATGATTCCACGATTCTCTGCTGTTAGCGATGCAGTAGAATCCAGGCCCAGGCCAGCAGAGTATCCATGGGGGCAGTGGAGGGACACAGACAATCCACGCTGGTCACACACGGTTTTCCTGCCAGCTGGTTGGTTTCAGTTGGTGTTAATAGGTTTAGCTGCTGCCCTTTTGTTCAGAATAATTCAGAGCTTCCTTGTTATCGAGGCCGTGGCTGGAATAGCCTGTGTTTGCCCATCTGGAAGCAGCAGAGACAAAAGCTGGTGTGACTGAAACTGCCGACGTCACAGGGCTGTGAGACCTAACGTAGGTACAAAAACCCAAATCTCTGCACAATCCAGGGCAAAAAAAACCAAAACAAAACAACCCAACAAAATGGAAATCAGAGGGATTAAAACAAACTTGCTTGCTAATGGAAATGCTTTTCTTCATCACTTTGTTCAAAACCATTTCCCTTTTCGGTGTTTGTAGTGCCCAGGGATGTGAGGGATTTCGCTGGGTCAGCAGACTCAGCCCAGGGAGACTGGCCAAGGAGGAAGGGCAGAAGCAGAAGAAAGCAGAGCACACCCAGACAGCACTGAGAACCCCCAGGGCTGAGGATTTCTTGCCTGAAATGCTGTGGGGTGTTTTTGTAGCTGATCCAGCAGGCTGCCAGGGAGGTGCTGGGGCCAGTCCTGCCTGGGCTTCCATCAGCTCTCTGTGTTTAGTTAACAGATAACTTAAAAAAAATAGATTTATCTCTGAATCCTATCCATGTGGAGCTGTGGGTGGGAATCTGAGCTACTCACTGGCCATGGTCTCACCATGACCAGCCATGGCTGACAATCCTGTGCCCCTTGACGGGATGGGGTGGAGGTGCCCTGAGCCGCTGGGATGCAGAAGTGGTGGTGGTCTCTTTAGGAGAGTGAGATCCAATGAGGATAGAGGGTGAAGTACCTGAAGGGGCCTACAAGAAGGGTGGGGAGGGACTTTGGACACGGGATGGAGTGACAGGACAATGGGGAATGGCTTCAAACTGAAAGAGAGCAGAGTTAGATGGATAATGGGGAGAAATTCTTCCCTGTGAGGGTGGTGAGGCCCTGGCAGAGGTTGCCCAGAGAAGCTGTGGCTGCCCCATCCCTGGAAGTGCCCAAGGCCAGGTTACCTGAATGAGGGGGGCACTTTAGGGGGCTTTTGACTCCCTTGGCCTTTCTTGGATTGAGAGAAATTGGTTCCATTCCCTCACTGATATGTCACCAGCTGGAACAAATAAAATTCCAGGGGTGAAGCTCTTCCAGGGGCCTGCAGCCCACCATATCCTGGGGAGGGTCACCCTGCAGTCACAGCCCTACCTGTGCTGCCTTTGAGTGTGGTAATTTCTCTTGCTGGCTGACACCTCCCCAACAGCTGAATAGTCACAACTGCATGGGACATCATAAGGAAACAAAGTATTTGGTATTGCCAAGTGGGGAATTAAAGTGACTAAAGTAGAGAATAATACTCATTTGTAACAGTGTTGGGTGTGAAAGCCAATAACAGAAAATAATACTTTGAGTCTGAAATGGAAATTATTTTTGTTGTAAAGTTGGCTGTGTCCCTTGTTTCTCATGCCAGGAGGATGGAGAGCTACTGGCAGTGCCAAGTGACGATGCTGGTCCCTCACATTGTACTGGCAGTGCTGAAACCACCGTGGCCTGTCCCTGGTCAGGAAGGGAGAAGGACTGGGGGGTGTCTGTCCTTTCATGTTGGTGTCCATCCCCTTGGGCTGGCCAGGATCAGGACCTGATGTGGGCACTGGGGATTCGGCTCCAACAGCAGCCTGTGCATGCCCAGAGCTCGCCATGGCCAGTGTGGTGTGACAGGGGAGCCTCGCTCAGGGCACACACTCAGGCCACTGGGGTGTCAGAAGTTGTGACTCCATGGCATCACTGTGGCTGTAAGAATGGCTGCTTTACAGCAGTTCCTTTCTGTGCTTCAGTGTGGGTTTCTTTAATCTCTCCTGCTCACTGTGCTCTGCTGTGTGTATGATAATGCAAAACCACCTATTTCCCCTGGTCTTTGATCTTCTCTCCCAATTAAATATCAAATAGAGCTGGAGAAATGTCAGAGGGAGGCTTTTCTCATTAGGACCTGGGAGTGCTGTGATGGTGAAAACTGTCCTTTGAAGCTTGAGGAGCTGTGAGTTCTCATGCAAATGTCATGTATGTGGTTTTGCACTTGATTTCTGTCCAGCATGGAGCTCTGCAGAATGCCTGGGAGTGTGCTGGCGGTTCCCAGCCTCCCCTGGTACTGTGAGCACTTCATTCTGAAGGATAACAGGATAAAGGAATGTGTAGGGACTGTGTGAGCTTTTCCCCACAAATGGGGTTCCTTGGACACCCAGGGAAGGTCCCACCATCATCATCCTCCCTGCAGGTCCCACAGAGCTGTGTGTGGGAACTGGAGCGTCCCCTCAGGGAACTGCTGTGTCCTTCAGCATGGCAGACCTGTTCTGGACAGGTTTCTGTGCTGTTGTTGGATGTGGTGCCTGGGGGTTTCATGCTGTGCAGCGTGGGAAGCAGCATAGCATTGGAACAGGTTATTTTAATGGGACTGAAGCCACCCAGAGTGTCCTGTCTGTGCAGTTTTCCAGAACCCCATGTCCTGGTTCATGGGAAGGCTGTGGGGACAATGGCTGGAATCTGTTCCTGCAGTATGTTACAGCCAGATCCTGGGGGCTGTGTCTATACAACCCTAAAGCTCCTCTGGAAAAAGGGGAAGAAGAAGGAGTCTATCCCACACCAGGAGAGGCTCCAGACAAGCAGCAGCTTTGCTGCAAGGCACAGCTGGGTGTTGAGGTGCTGCAGTGACAATGTCTGTCCCACAAAAATAGCTTAGCCAAGAGACAGTGTGGAGCAGGGGGGAAATGACCTGCTGGATCACTCTCCTCCCACAATAATGTGATCTCTTGTGCCTGTCAGCTCCTTGCTGGTCTTCCTCATCCTCACTGGGAATTTCAGCCACTAAGGGCACCAGTTACTGCTGGTAATTTCTAAAATTGTCTCCTGACTTCCCAGCTCTGTCTCAAAAGACATCACACCCATAGCCAGACCCCAGCTCTCCCTGTGAGCATCTGGGTCCCTGCAGGTATCCTCAGCACAGGTGGGCAGAGGGTCTCTGCAGCCAACAGCTCCTGCTCCTGGGCTGCAAGCTCTGAGCACAAAACTAGGGCCCCAGTTGGTGCAAATCCAAACCAGACGTGCTTTAACCAGAGACTAAAACACAATAGCAGAAAAAAGAACAAAAACCCTCCCGAAAGCCAACTCATCCCCAGCGCCAGAGCCATATCCTCAGTGCAGGCAAGAGAGACGAGGGGCCAGCACAGGATCTACCAGGTCCAGCTGCAGATCCCACTCTGTGTTCCAGGGCTCGGGGGATGTGTTTGCTGGGTTTTGTTCCCCCTGGAGCAGCTCTTTGGCTGGGCAGAGCTGTTGGGTTTACTTTGCTTTACTGGTGGCTGAGGCACCATTCTGGGCACAGGATGGTTTGGCCATGCTGTGGTGGCCCCAGGCCTGGCTCCTTGTCCCTTCCTCCCTCCCTGCTGCAGTCCTGAGCTCCCCAGCCTTCCCCTGGGAACCCCTGGCTTCTGCTGCTGACACTGCTCCATCTGTGCCCAGGTGTGCCCAGGGCTTGGTTTGTTTTAGGAAGCCTGGGGCAGGAATGTGGGCAGGGGTGGCTGGCACAGGCACCAAGCCAGCCTGGGGGCTGGTGGGAGGGCTCTGGACCAGGCTTGAGCACATTAAACAAACCAATGTGCAATATTTTGTGATGGCTTTTTCCAGCCCAGATAAGCTTCCCGAGGACTTGCCTGTGTACAGCAGAACGAGGGGCCGGGACAAGAGGTGAAGTTGTTTTCACGTGTTCAAGGATATTTTTTCTTGTGCTGCACATGAGGCATGCAGGGAGCTTTTCATCCATCTTCTACTGCCTTTTCTGGCTGCTTCCCTGGGAGGATGTGGGTGTTATCCATATTCTGTGTGTCTCACAGCCCACAGCTCGCAGCAGCACTGCTGCTGACCTAAGAGTTTCCTCTTGAGTCACTGTATGAAGACTCAGCTTTTCTTGAGGTATTGTTGGAATATTTTATTTCCTAATGCCGCTAGTGTCACACTGGTAACTAGGGATGTGGCATC